TTGTTCACGGCAGCTCTAGAGTCAATATTTAAGATCACTCAATGGCAAGATATGGGCATCAATATAGATGGAAAAAGATTAAACCACCTAAGATTTGCAGATGATGTTGTATTAATCGCAGATAATTTACAAGATACAGTTTCTATGATGCATTCGCTTAAAAGTCTGTCTGAAAGAGCAGGATTAAAGATAAACTTTGAGAAAACTAAACTTATAACAAATCTGTAATGAGTGGAAATATAACTATTGACAATAACAACATACAACAAACAGACACTTACAAATATCTGGGACACGAAATCAAAATAAGCAGAGACAATCAAACCACATGAAATACAGAGGCGAATAGGCCTAACTTGGGCAGCATTTGGCAAATTAAGCCATATTCTAAAAAGTTCAATTCCCATGTGTCTCAAGCGAAAGGTTTATGACCAATGTGTTTTACCTGTACAAACTTATTGGAGCGGAGACTTTAACACTCACGCAAAAATCTGCGAATAAACTCAGAGTTACGCAACGAGCCATGGAACGTGCAATGCTGAACGTGAGCCTCCGAGACCACATAACAAACCAACAAATCAGGCAAAGATCAGGAGTTCAAGACGTCATCGAAAGAACACGTCGCTTAAGTGGAACTGGGCAGGGCACTTAACCACAAGATGGACGGTGGACAAGACGTATTATGGAATGGAGGCCCAGAAACTATAAAAAGAAGCCGAGGACGACCACCGACTAGATGGACCGATGATATAAAACGTGTAGCGGGAAACTGGCTACAAGCGGCCCAGTTTAGAGAACACTGAAAAGAACTGAGGGAGGCCTATGTCCAGCAGTGGACGCGATTGGCTGATTGATGATGATGATGATATGAATACCTCACAGTAACTGTATAGAGCAATTTTATAAATAAATGTATCCTTTGCTAACAATGTGTAGGCTTACTTTTCGGATTATTTCCAGTTTACGCTTATTTGGTAAATGCTAAAGGCAACCCAAGAGTATGCTCTGTAATTGTAGTTACTTATATATTTAGAAACTAAAAGTAAGCCAAAAAAAATCACAAAAATCACAAAAGACAACATGTTGCTATTTTATGTGAGTAAACACATTTGACCAAAATATGTTATTATTTATATATAAAAAAAGATTTTAAAACTTTTAAGACAAACTACAGTACTAAAATTCATTTCAAAGTTAAATTATTTCAATCATAAGATCATACGAATACAAAATATTTCATCTCTCTTTTCGTAACAACAAGAAATTGAAAATAAAATTGAAGAAGATAACTATTTCGATAATCATCTACATTTTGTGTATATAATTTAAGTACAACTGTACAAAACTATTCCGACTGAAAAAACATAAAATATATATAAATGTTTGCAATATAAAAATAAAATCCAAACAATTATGTGTTGCATTATTTGCTAAATTATAAAAGGTTTGGTTTGTAATGTTGCGAATATTTTTGAGTAAAATCTCCAATAAATAATTATTTGTTGAATATACAGAAGTACATTGAAATACAATGACATAAAACGCATCTGATGCCAATATATTTTTTTATTACCTTTTTTCCGGTTTCGCTGGAAATACCCTAAGTTATTTAATTTAATGGAACATCCTGTATATTTCTGCATAGTTTTAAAAAACTTGTTTATTCCTAATTTAACAACTTTAGAAGTAGAAGTAGAAAGAGAATACTCAAAATTTCATGGACATCGCATACCTCAAACGAAGAAGTGCTGCATAGAATAGGCAAGGAAAGAGAACTTTTTAACACAGTAAAAGTAAGAAAAACATCATACCTTGGCCACATACTGAGAAATAATAAGTACCAATATGCCCAGCTTATAGTGAAAGGAAAAATCGAGGGAAAGAGAGGCCTAGGAAGGAAAAGACTATCATGGCTCAGAAACATCCGACAATGGGACAGGGCTAAATTTTGAACAGCTAATAAGAACAGCTGAAGATAGAGAAGAGTTTAAAATTGTAGTAGCCAACCTCCATTGAGGATGAGGGCACTTTAAGAAGAAGAAGAAGAAGTAGAAACTTGTTAAATACAGAAATAAATCCCCTAACAGTTAAATAGTTAGGTTCATTTTTTTGCGCAAGATCAATAAGAATAATCTTCTCTTCTTCTTAGAGTGCCATATCGCTACGGAACGTCGGCGACTACCATGCTTATAATATTATTATACTGATCTCGGTCTTGGGCTACGTGTAGCAATTGGTCGCTGTTAAACCTGTCCATTGCCGCAAATTCCTCAACCAGAGAGTTTCTTCCGTCCTATCCATTTCTCTCCTTCGATTTTACCGTTGAGAATTAGCCGAAGGAACTCATATCTTGGTCCTCTGATTATATGTCCAAGATATTCTAGTTTACCCCTCTTAATAATATTTATAGGGTTCGTTGATGTCCCATTCTTCGAAGAACTTCTTCGTTTCTGGTTCTGCAGTCCATGGAATTTTTAGTATCCTTCGATACAACCACATCCCAAACGCCTCGATTTTATTCATGATATCGGCGTTGAAAGTCCAAGTTTCATACCCATACAAAAGTACAGACCACACGTAACATCTTGTAAACTTTTCACGGATTTCCAAATTTAATGAGTTATGGATAATAGAGGCTTGCATTTTTGAAATGAGTTTCTTGCCTGTTCAAATCTACATCGAATTTCGAAGGATGGATCTAGATTTTGGGTAATTCAACATCCAAGGTATTTGAATCTCTGAACTCTCTACAGCGGTTGTTGGTTTAATATCAGTTGGGTTGCGCCGATATCCACTTTACTGATCACCATGTATTTAGTTTTATCGATATTTATCGACAGTCCCCAATTTTGTGCATTCCATGTCAACTCTATTGATTAGCTCTGCAGATCGTCGATGTTTTCAGCTAGAATCACAGTATCGTCGGCGCGTACGTATATTGTTAATTATTTCTCCTCTATTTTTAATCTTTTAAAGCTTCCTAAATAGATTCTCAGAATAACGTTAAAGAGGGTGGGAGATAGTATACAGCCTTGTCTTACGCCTCGTTTAATACTGATTGGCTTTGATTCTCTGTTGTTGGTATTAATAATGGCTGTTTGGTTCCAGTAAAGTTTGGCAATAAGTTTGATGTCTTTCTCATCTAGATGGATGCTCTGCAAGGCGGTAATTAGTCTGGTATGCTGAAACGCGATCAAATGCCTTTTCAAAATCAATGAAGCACATATATACGGGTTTTCTTACCTCCCAACATCGTTGAAGGAGTGTTTGCATAAAATGAGAATAATAATTAATAAAAATCACTTGAAATGTTCAAAATGCTCGCAAAAGTTTACGTCCTCACAAGGTGTAGTAAATAAACTTTATTTATTTACTAGTCTAAAAAGAGTACAAACGTAAACTGGTGACTTAAGATTTTTTTTTGTATTAAAACAATGTAGTAAAAAATAAAGGAGTATCTACTATGTTATCTAGTAGGTAGCTGTTGACAAATCAATTCGCAGTAAGAAGTTGCAGAATCAAACTGATTAATTTTGATCTTAATGATCGGAAATTGTCACAAAACTTTTAGTTTCAACAAGATGTAGTGCCTCCGCACTATTATCGATAGATTAGGAATTTTTTGATTGAGAATTTTTCAAATCAATCGATTGGACGTAGAGGATTCATAGGCTGACCTGCTCATTCTTCGGACCATAATTTGTTTTTGGGGTTATCTAAAAGTACGTATTTATGTTAGGCGATCAACATGTTTGGATTTGAAACAAAGAAGTCAAGAGAAAAATGCCGGGGAGGTATTGGAAAGAGTGACTCATGAATTTAATAATAGGCTTGCACAATATCAAGAGGTGAACAGCGAGCACTTTGGACTTTTGAAGTGATTTTTTACTGAGGCAATATAACTCCTAGTGGGCATTTATGATTTTCATCCGTGGTTTATATAATCACTTTTTTATAAGTAGTGTTATTTGATAGATCCTGACTTTGATTACATTATTTTCTTAAGGTAGACATTCACGGTCATGCTATCGCGTCAAATACCGTAACATACAGCCAAATATTGATAAAGCGTGTTGAATCATGATTGCTTTTTGGTCGTGATGCCAAAATCCGGATTTCCATTCGCTTCGTAATATTATGATTATTTTATAGAAATGACTGAAATAAATTATAAACCTTTGTAACAAACCAACCCCTGACGCTTCGCCTCTAAAAGAGCCGTAATATGATTTTCAAATCACAACATGTGGAATTTAGAGAGTCTTGTAAGATGGTCCAGTGATATGATGTGTGGTCTGACCATTTTGCATACATTTTAGTTTACAGATGTGAATAGAATACAAAAAGACAGTATTTGAATTATATTTAGTGAGTTAATGTTTAGCTTTTCTTAAAAAAACATAATTATACAGGTTTATCAAATCATCGTAATTTGCGTTATAAAATAAACCTACCTGAGATTAATTAATATTAGTATAACATCGTATATATATTTCGGCTGTTCCACATATTAATATATTATAAATATTATTTGGGTATTTGTTTTATAAGGGATTCCACTGTTGGATCATGTAAATAAATACCTATATTCATGATGATCAAATCGCAATTTTATCGGACATATCTCAAACCTTAACTCAGAACCTTGTATAATTTACCACTAATGATTTTAGAATATTGCATAACAAAATTGCCTATTGTATAATACAGTGTATATAAAACGAAAGAACAGTCTTTATTACAATATATTAACTTTACATTTCCGTGTTCTGCTCAGCAGCTTCTTCGTTTTCGGGCTCTTCTGGTAGCGTATACACTCCCGTTTTGACGGGTCCTTCAAGCACCTCCGGCATTTTCGTTACTGGCAACATCTCAACCCCTATTCCCGTTCCCATGCTAACATCGACGATGGACGTGGGCGTACCAACACCACCGGTACTAAGTAAGGTTTCTTCTGTAAGGTTTCGACGATAGATGTTGCTGGGCTTCTGTGGAAATTGTCATGATGTCATGTTAAAGGGGTCGTTGGTGATGTTGAGGTCGTCGGGGAAACTTGTTGAGTTTATTTTTGGAAGTGCTTTCTCTTGATGCTTTAGCCTAGAAATAAAAACTCAGTGAAACAAACATTAAATATGGTTAGTTTATATATCTATATTCTAAAATCCAAAACAAAATTTGTGAACATTCCATTTCTGTTCGCAATTTCGATTTAATTTCAGCTCTAGGCCAACACTATCTTTATACAGATCACAAAATTGATTTTGAAAACTTCTGAACCATAGCTCCTATCAGCTTTCATAAACCAAGAATGATCAGAGAAGCAATAGAAATTGAAAAAAGGCCAAATAGTCTCAATAAAAGAGATGACGGCATACGGTTACCTTCGACATGGACACCTCTCGTGAAGAAAATATCGTCCGCTGCAGCCATCAATCAAAATTATACTGTCAGAAATGTTCGCACCAACCATCGCCTATCATCGCGCCAATCTCCACGCTAATCCCACTCCAACCTCCACTCAAACCACGTCCACATCCACGGTTTAAATGAACGGTCCTCTGTTCCCAGTAGCAGTAATGCATCGGTTACTGATCAGTGTAGTAGTGTCTGGGAACTCGGGAGACTGAAACTCGGAAGCCCTAAAGAAGACATCAAAAGGATGTCGAAATGATATTCTTCGCTTTGACCGTAGTTTTTCATATCGTAAAAGTAATTTCGTAGAATTTTCTCCCCGTAGAGGTTAATTATATTGGACTTGAAATTTCCGCGGAGGGGGAGCGATAGATATGGTGAAGCAATTTTTTCTTACAGAAAAGAAAAATCTACCATTGAAAAGGCACAGAAATCTCGAAACAAAAACAAAGATCAAGAAAAAGAAGAAAAACCAGTCGGAAACACTACACTGCACTATATAAAGGGTACGACAGACAAAATCAGCAAAGTGCTAAGAAAAACAAAATAGAGACTATTTTTAACACCGACACAAAAATCGCAACCATATTTACCATTAGCAAAAACAAAAGTTGCATTGGCAAAATCAAGATGTATACAGATTCCGTGTGAGGACTGCGATAAATCGTACATCGGACAACACCATCGAAAGAAAAAGAGAAGACTTCATCCCTAGCACCACATGCCATGAACACAGGATACAAAATAAATTTAAATGGAACAACAATGCTAGCCAACATCGAAAATATTGTAAAACGTGTAATCAGCGAAGCCATAGAGATCGAAAAACATCCAAAAATTTAAATACCAGAGATGATGCCAAAGGCTCCCAAATACGTGGAAACTAATTCTGCAGAAAAACGTAGAAATTAAAATAGCGAAGAACGGACCCCGCCCACTCTGCGCACAGGACAATCACCAAGAAGCGCTAAAAGGTATTTAAACAAAGCGTGCAGCGGTGTGAGATAATCATACACTTGGGAATGCACATCCCACACACCCTTAAACCCTACCCCCAATATTTTCACCCAAAAAACCCATACTAACAAACAAACTGTTAACAGAAAAGAATTAAAAATAGCTGGACACCAGATCCACACTTCAGTAAAGCTCACAAGGTTAAGGCCCCTCAGGCAAAAAACCTTCAGGATCAAAGTGCCCTAGGCAATCGCGAAACCTGAGCATCAAGGCCGTGTGCGAAAAAACACGGGCTCGATGGCCAGACCCATCGATCATCAGCCGGCAAGGAGACCAAAACTTATTTTGCCAAATGACTTCCGAACAGAGGGCCGACACAGAGCCCAAGTCAAGCTACAATTAAACTCAGTAAAGTAAATAGGGAGAAAAGCTACATTAAGCTACCCCTACAGTCAGGTTGCCTAAACACTGGTCAAGAAAAACGGAGTGTGTTTTCTTTTCCCAAAATCGCCTGACGTAATAGTTCATAGCCTCCTCAACGTATGTCAGACGTAGAGGAGGGGTGGTGAAAAAACCTGGGGGTCAGATAGGTACCGAGCCAAAATCACTAGCTCCTTGTGGAACGAGACCGGTCTGATCTTCGGACATGGGGTCCCACTGATTAGCAGTGGTACACTCATGTTCCTAGGGGTTGGGATGAACTTATGTGTGTGTGTGACCGAGAAATCAATTCTCCTGGAACATCAGAAGAAGCAGAACTAATCTGACTTGCCCATGGCAAGTGGTACCTTGCCGAAACCTCGCCAAAACAATGGTTAAAAAAAAACTAAACTATTAAAAACGGAGTCAACATTAAATATAATTAACTCTACGGGGAGGAAATTCTACGGACCTTAGACGATATGAAAACCTACGGCCAAGGCGAAGTAAGTTACTTTATAACCTCACTTTTTTAGAACGCTTTCGCGATGAAACCATAATACCCACTTGTATGAAGTTAAGTTTTCACAAAAACAATAGAAAACTAAGAATATTTAAAAAAGGCAAGTCTCGCACTTACTAGAGAAGCGATTCAAGACTCCAGACGAGACATCGATAAAGTAAATTCAGAGTTGCTAATAGCTATATCTCACACTAAGTACTAAAGTACATCCAACTCTGCGGAACATCTTTGACAAACTGACAAACTTTCGATCGAAGACAGATCACCAAGAAAAAACAAATCAAAAAGTTTGAGAAATTAAAACTACAATAAAGACCAAAGTATAAGGAACTACCAACAACAGAAGCCAGTATTTTAGTCTACAATTTCTCAAATCTTCCTTTAGATGAAGCTACAAATAGTGCCCTTTCTAAAGGGTTCAATTTTGCTATTGCACCGAGATGGATTCCTGTCGAAAATATCATTACCGAAGTGAAAACGACTATCACTAAACAACATTAGAAACAGCCGAATTATTCGATAAGATGTATCACAAATATTAAGAACACTCAAACCTCCAAAAATGAATTTAACTTACGAAGAAAGGAAAGCCTTGCAGAATATTCAAAAAACAAAGACATTATCGTACTTCCAGCTGACAAGTGCAACGCTACTGCCATAATAAACATTGAAGACTACGACACAAAAATAAAGAACATTCTAAACGATAGTGCCTATCAAAAAATCGTAACAGACCAATAACTGTTCTGGAGAAAACAACAAAAAACCAAAATACAAGCGTCAAACATCAAGAAAGAACAACAGTTCCACCTCATTCCACGTGAAAAGTTTCCAAGATATCTAAAACTTGACGGGTTTACCAACGTACATAAGGCAGAGCTACCATTATGACAATAGTCAGCTCTATCAGATCACCGTAACAATTACTGGCAATATTTCTAGCCAGTGCTTAGACCACTTACTTGTAGCAGACCAGCTACAGCCATATGTAGGAGGAAGCGGATTCTTATGTCAAGAACGCAAGCCACTTTATCGACCGTATAAAGGACGTTATTTTTAAACCTGAACACTTACTAGTGAACTTTGATGTAATCTCATTATTCATGAATGTCCAGTAGAAGAATCATTAGAAATTATAAAAGGACGTTACTCTGAACTGAACACTTATTAGTGAGCTTTGATGTAACCTCATTATTCACCAAAGTCCAGTAGAAAAATCATTAGAAATTATACGGAAAAATATTCAATACCACAGGATATACTAAAGTTGACGAGGCATTGCTTAAATAACACCTATTTCATCTACAAGGACCATAGGTACAAACAAGTCGAAGGAGCACCAATGGGTTCATCACTGTCACCCGTAATAGCCAACCTTTTTATACAAGTTATGGAACCGAAAGCAATAAAAACAGCAGAGCATAAACCCAAATTGTAGCTTAGGTATGTTGACGACACATTTATTATCTGGACGCATGGAGAAGAGAAACTTAATGCATTCCTACAACACATTAATAATATCCATCAAAAATACAGTTTACCAAGAAACGGGAGGAATAACCAACAACTTCCATTCCTAGAAGGAGACGAAAGCATAGGACATACAGTGTACCGAAAACCAACCCATACCAACCAATCAAATATAAAACTTGATCGATCGTGTGAACAAATGCTTTCTTAAAAATATTTCTCCAATTTTACTAAACTTCCTTGCTTTTGAAACTAATAATACCCTTTTGATATAGTCGACTCCGCTCATCTGCTCGATCGACACATTATTATTGAAAATGGAAACTTATTTTATAAACTAGATCTAATGTATTATTTTTATTAATATAAGCAAAAATAAAATATTCTATTGTTACACTGTAAAGTGACCAACAAGGAAACACTTTTTTTAGGCACGGCCAATGATAAAATTCAAAATTTCCAAAAATTCATGATACAATATGTAATTTTGGCTAGTTTTATCGCTTATAACGCGTGATTTTGGATTACTAATTTCATTTTTGGATTGCTAGAGTACAGTAGCGCTTCTTTACATATCATTCAGTAATACTTTTTAATTTGTCCATTGTTACTAAACTCTTTTTTTTAGTATAAACAATTCTTATAAACTACAATAAAAAATACATACCTAATTGTTGTTTCTTAGCACTAAATTTGTTCTGAATGAAGTCCTTCGAGGTCAGAACAATTAATTAAAATCTGGTCAACAGAGTTCTAATACAATTTGGAAAGTCGGGGAGGAAGAAAAACACGCGAAAACTTCTTGACGGAATTTAAATTGATCTATTAAGTGAGCGCATTCATTTCTGACGTTCGAACAAATTTATATTGAAATTCTTTAACCAACACACCCGAAGAATTCGTAAGTAAACTAATGGAGCAACTCTTGTTTCAAACAAAAAATATGGTTGAAAAACATTTACGGGTTGTAACTCATCATAGTTATGCCCATCGATAAAAACTTCTAGCAAAAATTAGCGCATAACTATTATACTTAAAAAATTCCGTAACTTATAAAAACTACATTACGGGAATTTTTCGAGAATTACGTAACTTATTATTCAACAAGAAAATGACACTGGAGATGACATTTTTATTGTTGCGCATCGTCTAGCTCTGTCTCTCAGGTGTATATATTTTAAATGCAAATCCGAACAAAATAAAATGGCAGGGACAAATAAGGGATTAAATTAACTAATCATATTTATTATACATATTATTCTAAAGGCTCTAAACCATTTGTGGGTCTTGTCTGCTAACAACTTTCTTCCATTCT